AGTGTATAAGAATACGTATCCCTAAGTAGAAAACGAACTTCACACTATATATATATATATATATATATATATATATANCTGGTGATAGTCCTATTAATGAGTTCAACGGTTTCCTCTACCAGTCTAGATGTTGATAGTTCTTTTTGTAATGATTTTAGACTGGCCTGACTGTCGGAAAAAATTTTAATATCTTTTCCCTTAATCTTGTTTTCCATGAGTGTTCTGCAGCAAACATTAATGGCCCAGACCTCTGCCTGAACTTCACACTAACACTTACGCTAATAAATACAATCCTGAATATTTGTAATTACTTATTCTTTTTATGTAAGGTTTGGTTGAGAATCGTGACACTAACTTTTTCATCTCAACCAAGACCTTACGTAAAAAGAATAACTAATTGAAAGAAGTAATTTTGTCAATTAGGCCACTAAACATATGGATTTATAATTAATATTGAAGTTAATTAACTTGTAATATTACAATTAAATCATAATACAAATATATATCTGAAATATATATGTTATATGTTGGAGAATATATTATATGTATAATATGTATGTAAAACCCATTATAAGTATTATGAAAGTAAATGGATGTATTATATACAAGGGACCCAAATGTTCCCTGTCCAAAACAATTCCCTTCAGGACTTGCAATGCTGAACAATACCACTTAAATATTCACAGGAATTGTTTCAAATTACTGTCACCCGCAAGCGGATTTTGCACGTAACCGCCAGGATGGGGATGAAGGAAACATATGTTTTACATAGGAAAGACGACATCTCTTTGTTAAACCCTTTTATTGTACGGACTCGTACTTTCATAAGTACTCACAATTATCTTCTAACATCCAACTTACTCCCTACCAAACCAAAACTGAACACAACCAAATCCTCTTTTTCTTTCGACCCCTCCTTCCCAACCAGCTCCTCTGCTTCGCGCAATGCCCTGTGCCCGAGTAGCTATGACCTACTACTTCGTACGCCGAGCTCCTTGCAATTAGTAACAATTATTTACAATAATTGTCTTTTTATGTCACAATAACTATACCTAACCAGGCTACTAAAATTATGTACCTTTCTTAACAGTTGCAAAATATTCTCATATAAGTTTTGAAAAAAAAAAAAAAAACAGAAAGGAAAAAACGCTTAGAAAGCTGAATTATTCTTCTTTCAGGCTATGTCAATAAACGTTTAGAAGTTATGTCATTACAAATGTGATCAATAATAATAAAATCAATAATACATATCCAAACGTTTTGTTTTATCCAGCTCTTATTTATTTTCGGAGACAAGATTAATGCCATCACATCTAGGTGGTAAAATTGTAAAGCTCCCAGTAAAGTTTCCAGTATATCTATGAAGTTGTTTCTATGTCATAATTAATTTTGCGATTATTATCAAAAAATATTGGAGGAATTTGAAAGGCGAAAAATTTGAGTAAAAAAATATATTTTTCAATTTTTCTAAAAATTTATAGTCGTATTTGAGAGTGCAAAAAGGAATATCAGCTTGTTCCTTGGTAAAATTTTTAACCTACTTTGCTAAGTCGCATTTGGATATAAAAAAACGAATATCAACATTGTTTTTGTTAAATAATAATAAATGTGTGGTGATTAGTGACCGTTAATAGATATTTATTTCGAAATCGTGAGATGCGGTCTGGTGTGACGTAGGTGTCAGAAAAACATTTTTTTTATCGTGCCAACGTTTCGATCTTTATTGAGATCATCTTCAGGGCTCAAAGTGTTTTTCTTCTGTGTAATTGTGCCATTCTTGCGTGTCGGCACTCTCGACACGACACGCAAGAATGGCCCAATTACACAGAAGACAAACACTTTGAGCCCTGAAGATGATCTCAATAAAGATCGAAACGTTTGCACGATAAAGAAAATGTTTTTCTGAAACCTACATCACACCAGACCGCATCTCACGATTTCTAAATAAGTAATAATAAAGTGGGAAGTTTATGGGCCGACAAACAGCTGAGGTCATCGCCGGCCCTCTGCGTGTTTTCATTCTTTTTCTCTTCTTTCGCGCGTAGTTTGTTTTAAACTGCAGCCATTTGAGCGCCTCGATCTGGTTACTGACTCTCTGATTTCAAATATATACTACGTTTATATCCTAGAATGCTAGTCTCTCGTCTGTACCTCAGGTTGTCAAATACAGAATAGAAACAAAACATAAAATACATATATATACATCACCACAAACATAGATGTCATGTCACATTCACTCCCCCAGAGTAGTTGATATTCCTCGGGGCGGGGTTATAAGCAACCCCTTCCCTAACAATAAATTAACACAAACACAACAACTCGGTAGAAACATAGAAGTCTGGTTACATTCATTCCACCAGAGTACTCGATATTCCTCTGGGCGGGGTTGAACCGTCTCCACTCTCGCTGATAACTTACTTTTGTCTTGTAGTCTTGTCAGTCTGGCCTTTTCCCTTTTCGTACCGTGTTTTTGTTTAAAAAAAATTTTAAACTATTTTGGCCCTCGCAAATTTCAATAAATAGTCTATGTTTTTATGATGTAATCCAAAACAACATATTGTATAAAAGGTCTCTTTAATCGAGTCGAAGGCCTATAAATGAAAAACTGTATTTATGTTCTTATTCTTATTTAATTTTCTTCCTACGTTCAATCATAGACAATCTTTATTGTTTCGTTTCTTCAATTGTAGGCTGAATTTCACAAAGCACAGGCATTCTTGTAATGCTACTTGAATACTTACAAATTTCGGCACATTTATTATATAGCCCGTTCTTTTATTTTGTATTGTATTACCCGAGAAAAAAATACCTGAAAATAAGCGACCCAAATTAGCTGAAAAAAGGTGCTATCACATGAGACAAAAAGTAAGGGAGTGATTGAAAAAAGAGTAAAAGCGTGACAAGAAAGTTGAGCCGGTGATAGAGTGAGGAAGAGTGTGTGAGTGAGTGAATGGTGAGAAAGAGAATGTGATTAAGTGAGTAACAGGGAAAAGGAAATTTAGTAAATGTACAAGGTTTATAATCCCATTGAAAACTACTTTCAAATCAACGATTACGCAATTTCTATTCATGCTGACACTTAATAATTAAATGTATAATGGTTTCACCTATTACTGCAAGGATTCAAACGATTTTTTGTCTTCGTTCATCGTGGTGCGGGTCATTATTTTGGACTCGCAACAATCCATTGTTACGGTGTCAATAGAAAAAGTACGTGCGAGGCTCGATTACTCAGTCCGTTGTTGGACGGACAAAGCAACCACCATTTGTATCCAGAACAATGCTGTAGTAAACGAGTTTTTTCGTTATATCCTAAACACTTACTGTTTCCTGTTGATTTGTTCAACCTTTTACAGTTTTATGTAAGAAGTGGGTTTTCAAAAACCACAGTAGATCACTTCTTGGGAGAGTAAAATAACAAAGGTGTAAGAGCCGAATCTAACCCAAAATCGAGCACTGCCAAAAAGTGAAACACGGTCTCGACGGAACGATCATTTTGATTCTCCAGGCTTCATTGTGTAGCTTATTAGGTTCCTGGTTTATAGTTTGAACATGTGTGAAAGGGAAGAAATCACCTTCAGCAATTGACACTTTCTTAGGATTTGTGGTGATGGGCGCTGCTGAAACAATAATACTGCTCAGGACCTGCTGGGATAAATAAAACAACAGATAAATGTCCAATGTTTGTATTAAAAATTCTCTCTGGAAAATAGGTCGTCAAATTATAAAATAATGCCTCATTGTATTAATCAAATATATATGCCCAAAAGTATAACCGATAAACAAGATGTATCGGAAGGTTATGGTTTGCCTCTTTTTGGAATTAATAAAATCAGTACTGCCATCCCATTACGAGTATAGTTCTATGAATCGGAAAGGTCGTTTTCAATTGTCATTAAATGACATTTCACATATAAGCCGGGAACACACTTACCCGATGCAACGCCATGCAACGCTACCCGACGCAAATCCGCAGTCCAATTTTCCATAAGGTTGTATTACTCCCATGCAACTCTGCCCGATGCTATGCAACGCTACCCTACTCTACGTTCTGCGATCCCCACGGTCCAGATTTTCGTCGAGTCGCATCGAGTACAGTCGAAGACAAAAGAACCGGACACTCATACTTTTATTCAAACTACATGTATTATTGTTGTTATATTAATCACAACAAACTTATTTTAATATAAACCAAATTAACCGAGATCAAAAAATGATTAGTTTTTATTTTAAAAAAATTAATTTTAATGGTTTGGTGGAAAATCAAAAAGAGTACAACAAAACACCGGAAGATCATTTTTTGATATAATAAATTTAACTAACGATTTATTACACGGTTTTTCTAATAAAATTCAACTAATAATTTATTTCAGGGTTTTGCTCATACAATTACACCATTTTCGTCGAGTAGCGTCAGAAAAGCATGCTAATATTTTTTGTAGTTTATTTCAAATTATGTATATGTAATTTTGTCGTTATATTAATTACAACATTGTTATTTTGATATAATTCAAATTAAACGAGATCAAAAATTCATGAGTTTTTATAAAATTTGTTTAATTATGATGGTTAGGCAGAAAATTTATCAAAACACCGGAATAACTTTATTTTAAACAATTAAAATTAACAACTATTTATTACATGGTTTTGCTCAAAATAATGCATTAAGAACAAAAGAGGCGTTGCGATTGTGATACTTATTTGTGGTACACGCTTTGGGACTGTACTTAGCGTGAGCTTGACGTCGAATAGATGTGCACACCCTACCAAAACGTGGCAAGGCGTCGGGTAGCATCGGGTAAGTGTGTTCTCGGCTATAGGCTCGAATTACAGTCCGACATTATGAGGGTGTTTATTATTATGATTTTTAGTTTATTTGTAAAGGTACTGTCAGAAGTCAATCAAAAATAACAGAAAGGACTCGACAAGCAAGAAGACGTTTAGTTATACCAGTTTATAAGAAAACTAATAAATAGGTAACTCAAAGGAGAGCTCGTGTGTAGTCTTTTTTTTATTTTCTATTTTCTATTCTAATTTTATATTCTATGTTTCGTTCACTAACTCCATAATTGCTCTTTATACCCTTCTTATGAATGGTTTAAAGTTTCAACGTTGTCTCTCAACAATGTTCTCGCGTTTGATTGGTTGTTACGTACTCCCATTAAGTTACGTGCATTCGCATGCCTAAAAACAGGAAAAAAGGATTTCAGACTTTCAGCTGGGGAAGCGACCACCCTGCCAGATAGGGCAGTCCAAACTATTTTAAACACTTTATATTTTGTTCTGAGTAACACCTAAATTAAATTACACCTTTTCTCCTCAGCACAGGATGCTTCTAATGCAAACGGTAATGAAAAAATAAAAAGTAAGTACATTTAATTTTGAATTTCTTTTAATAAATAAATTGTTACGAATACTATATCGAAAAGATAATTTCAAAAATGTATTAAACCTTTGGAGAAAATGTAGATAGCGTTTCAAAAAATATATCAACAAAATCATACCATATCAAAGTGAAGAACAATAAAAAACAAATCATATGTTTTTAGGCAATGTTAATAATGCTTTTGCAAGAGTATGTTCCCGAATAGGTCTAGTGCGTCGTAAATCGGCTGGTACATAACCGGAACATCTCCAGATAAGCATGACTGGCCCCATGAGACAATCGCGTATACTTCGTCGGCGCAGACCAAAGGGCCCCCCGAATCTCCGATGCAGACGTCGCTCAGGTGGGTCACGCCCTGAGCACAGACCATCGGGTAGAGGTATTCTAGCCTGCATAACAGCGGGTTCTGGTTGCATATGACCTCGTGGCAGAAATCCCAGGAAAACACCCTAGCGTCAACGACTTGTAAGGCCATCGCGAAGATCCCACCCTGCTCTCCTTCGTAGAGCGGTCTCACTTTCAGGCCCCAGCCGACGGTCTGGCAGATGGTCTTGTTCTGTACGTGGCTCTTCACCCTCAGCATTATCTCATCTTTGTCCAAGGAAGTGAAAGAGGCGGGCCTAAGTCGGGGATTCCACTGAAACGGGATGGTTACCTTGGCCAAGGCGATGTCGTAGCTGATGACCGCGGACATGTAGCAATTGGGATGGGTAAAGGCCAATTCCAAGGAGCGTGTCACTGCGGGCTTGATTGGATTCCTATTTAGGCTACCCGCAGTAACGAACAGATGGGTCAACTCGATGGGTTCCCCTTGGCCTTCTTTGTTGAATATGCGAAAACAGTGGCAAGCGGAAATTATAAAATTCCTGTTTACGATCACTCCACCACACCTTTGGAGATATATGGTTTTCCACTGGATGCTGACCACGAATGGAAATTCTCCCTCGAGAGCAGTGCGACCATTGATTATCTTCTTTGTGCAAGAGCATTGGGAACTGAAGAGTAAAAGTGAAGATGTAACAAATACCAAATACTTATTAAATACGTACATTGCAATAATACTGTGAGTTTAAAACATGTGATTTTTTCTTTTAATCTTCATTCAGGTTTTTCCTTTTATAATTTTTAAACTTCTTTAAATTATTTATTACTTCTGGCGACGCCCGTGCGGGGCCTCGGGTTCTGGTCGGTCTTGGGCTGGATTGAGGGGTGCCTCCCCGGACTCTGAGGTCAAGGAATCTCCAGCGAGCTTAGAGAAGGTGTCGATGGTGACTAGATACCGACCCCTCCTCGATAAAGTCCTGCGCGCAATATTAAGACTAAAAGCATCAGTTGCGAGAAATCCATGTGGTTCCGTTCTTTCCATGCCTGGGGCTGCCACTGCGCCGGGGTCTGCGAGGGCCTCGCTCAGAGGGGGCCGGGCTGCGCCTTTGACTTGCAAATACTCAAGGCTTAATGACCAATAAGGTTGCAGCCTTTAATTTATTAAAAAAAAAAAAAACTTATTTATACTAATGCTTTACCATCATCTGAAAACTCTACCTTGGCACAACTAAGACGACGTAGGTACTCAAAGAAGCACCCCATTCTTAAGCTAACCAAGTAATCAAACATGATAAAAACTAAAACACTATTTACTATCACCTTATAGCGCAAATATTATTCCGCCACGGTTATATCCATTTTTATATAAGAGGTGAAAATAGTACCAAACATCTCGCACAAAACATAGCACTGAAATATGAAATACATTTAATAACGGCATAAAACAACACTACTCTACCTCACAACAGTTTTAAACGGGAAACACACCCGAGGCAAAGCTATGCGAAGCTACCCGATCCAAAGTCCAAGACAAAAGAACCGGATACTCAGACTTTTATTCCAACTACATGTATTATAGCCGTTATATTAATTACAACATACTTATTTCAATATAACCCAAAAGGAACTGGGATCAAAAATTCATTAAGTTTTATTTAAAAAAAATTAATTTAATGGTTTCGTAGAAAATTGATCAAAACACCGGAATACTATTGTTTGATATAATGAATTTAACTAACAATTTATTACACGGTTTTACACATACAATTTAACTAACAATTTATTTCATGGTTTTGCTCATACAATTACACCATTTTCGTCGAGCAGCTTCAGAAAATGACACTCATTTTTTTGTAGTTTATTTCAAACTAAGCATATGTAATTTTGTCGTTATATTAATTACAACATTCCTATTTTAATGTAAGCCACATTAAACGAGATCAAAAATTCATAAGTTTCTACAAAAATTATTTAATTATGATGGTTAGGAAGAAAATTTATCAAAACACCGGAATAATTTTATTTAAACAAACAATTTATTAAATGGCTGTTGTTGGTTCCTTAAATGTTAAACTGAAAATTAATGAAAGAAGTGAACAATTTTATTCAAACGTTGCGTTACCCTCCCACTATTCTTCTCTCTTTCTACATCTTTAAAATTGTATAAGTCCTTCTCTCTTACACATCAGCCAAAACTTTTTTATATTATTGAGAGATATAGGATTAATATAGGTCTAAAAGGGCCTCAGTAATTGTCAGTTTTTTTATTAGACATCATCGTGAATTCCTCACAAGAAATGTCATATGTTGAAAAACAAGTCAAAATTCGTGTCATATGGGTTTATTAGTTATTCAAAAATGGACGCACTATTCATTACAACTAGAGATAATTTGAAAACAGAGATTGAAGAAATCAAAGAGATCAAAGAGAAAATCGTTCAAGAGAAAATTACTTTGAACGAACTTATGACGAAATGGAACAACGCTCTCGCGAGTAGGAGATATCCACTTAAGCAGGAAAGGACCATTTTCAGGACGACAGGTACATCAACCCTCCCAAGATTCGCTTCCAAATTAACGAACCTTTTTCGCAGCTCAGGCCAGGATGCTCTGCCGTAACCACATCCGTGACATTGAATCGGCTATTGAAATTTTCCTGTCCGCACCGACCACGAAGGCCTACGATTCAATCATATACGACTGGGGATTCATTTTAAAACAGGTACCGTGGTGTTTATGTATACCATTTGGTTAGAAAAATGTAATATGTTACAGCTGAAAATCACGCAAGTCAATTTCTCTCGGTTGAAAGAAGAACCAGAAGAAGAAGACACGAATACAAAGACGCTGCCGGAATCTCTTTGGTGGCAGAAAGTCACCTCTGAACGTAAGAAGAGGAACGAAGAGAAGAAAAAATGGCTCAATCGTCACGAACTGCCGCCAGACATCGCCGATTCTTTGACCTCGTCCGACGATTTCAGCTCGGGCATCGAGTCCGACGAACTCCCGGAACTACCACCACGGCCTGCTTATTTGAGTAATTATAAATAAAAAAATTAACCAGGGACTGTACGGTGCTTCTCTTTTCGGCCGATTTTCTCGAAACACCACACAAAAGGTGCATTCCAATGTCCGGACAAGTGCTCTGTGTATGTTCACACAATTTGCAAGTTAATGGCTTTACAATGTTAATGGATACAAGTTAAGAACTTGCTACTTTGAAGTTGCTCCTTCAAACCCGCTCTTCCTCTAATCCCCTTTCGCGTCGTCTAAACTAAACCGCCAACTTGAACAATCCTCCCGGATACGAAACCAATCCCTTCCGTAGGTCGGAGGGTTAATTATTTGTCTGGTAATTAGAAAGGAAACGTCATGCATACATTTTCTACAAGAATATCGAAACTCACCTTCATAATTTCAACACTAAAGCCGGGAACACACTTACCCGATGCTACCCGACGCCTTGCTTCGTTTTGGCAGGGTGTGCACATCTATTCGACGTCAAGCGCACGCCACGTATAGTCACATGCGTGTATCTCAATAATCAGTATCACAATCGCAACAAAAATAAATAAATTGTTAGTTAAATTTTATGAGCAGAACCATGTAATAAATTGTTAGTTAAATTTAATTGTTTTAAATAAAGTTATTCCTGTGTTTTGATAAATTTTCTGCCTATCATGATTAAATCTTTATAAAAACTCATGAATTTAATTTGGTTTTTATTAAAATTATAATGTTGTAAATAATATATCGACAATAATACATGTAGTTTGAATAAAAATATGAGTGTCCGGTTCTTTCGTATCTGACTATACTCGGTGCTACCCGACGAAAATCTGGACAATGGAGAGCGCATAGCGTAGAGTAGGGTAGAGTAGCGTAGAATCGGGCAGTTGTGCACGGGGGTGATACAACCTTATGGAAAATGGACTTTGGATTTGCATCTGCAGCATCGGATAGCGTCCCATTGCATTGCATCGGGTAAGTGTGTTCCCGGCTTTAGACCTCTTTATAATTTATTCAAAAGATCTTCGATAAAGCATCAAAACAACAATGGCTGTCTGAATTTTTTAAAATGTTTTTATTTTATTTTTTAAACAAAATATTAATTAATCCTTCCTAATGATTTCGCTTTCATCTCTTCAAATGTTTATTCATCTATTTATTCAATAGAGAGAAAGATAATAAACTGATGTTGATATAATGTAAAATATAAGTTTATTAACTTACACTAGAGATGTTATTTTGAGGCAATCGATGGAGTATCATTTATGGACCATAATTACTTGTTTTATTATAGTCACTTCACCTAACAACTATGATTTTTAATCGTTAACTTTTTTCTACATATTTTTGTCCAAAGTATTTTTGTAATATCGTATTTTATTGTTGTATATCATTTAATTTTAATTTAATTTTATTGTTGTATTTAAGTACTCCATTTAAGCGTACGCCTCACAAGCTTGAAATTATTTGTTACACATCTTTCTTCTATGCAGTTTTAATCACTATTTTGACAACAAATGATCAAATGCTGTTATATTTTGAATTAGTATACTTTTAATTAAACTGTAATTGATGATTATTTAAATAACATAATCATTGGGTTGACATTAAGTAATTAGCACTTACAGTTTAGAGTCCATTTAGGTTAACTTAGATGCATTTCATAAAATTTTCCTTTTCCTTTGACAAATTAATTTCATTAAGGGATATAGCCAAACTAAGCATTTCAGACCCGTCATTTATATCTTTTTACAATATTAGAATTACAAATGATAAATGGTCATGTTTGAAGAGTCACACACGCCTCTTAATATTATTAAAACGTCAGTTGGCTTCGTTCTTACCGGTTCTTGAGCAAAAACTTGATATGAACAGACTTAATTTTTTTGTTAGGACTGCACATTTGAAAAATACGCTTTTGCAACATGCCAACACTTCTTGATACTTCTGGAGACCTTGTTCCATGCCCTTTCTTTCGTCATAGGAGGCACTTTGAAAAAATTTACCGACATAAACGTGTCTATTGCAGCTCCCTTATCTATTTTATCGGCCATTAAATTTTCTTAGATTTTACCATTCTTGAGCTTTGACCGCCCACATATATTATTATTACGTTGAACTATTAACTAATTAATGTTAATAATTTGCATTGCGTCCAGTTTTTACGAAACAACCTTAATTGTAAAAATTGCTTAGTGATCGTTAGTCGATGATTATTCAGAAATCGTGAGATGCGATCTGGAGTGATGTAGGTTTCAGAAAAACATTTTCTTTATCGTGCCAACGTTTCGATCTTTATTGAAGGCCTTTGATTGGCCTTGTGTTGTCTGCATCTGTGTTTTTCTACTAGTCATCTATCAAATTTCTCATTTCACCTCATTAAAGCATTAAAGACCTTTCCCTCTGCTTGGTTGTTTGTATAGTTTCTTCTGTATGAGTCAAAATCTAGAGGGGTTACGCACTGGAAAAAAACAAGTTAAACCAAAAATATTTAATTTTAATTAGTAATTTAATTTGTTTAATTAGGTATTTCGTTAAGAAATACTTACATGCTTTGTTATATCAGACATAAGACAAAAGCGAATTTCACGATTGGCAGCACCTTAAATAACGGCACTTGTTTCAAACACACAACGATTGAGCATCAATAACAAGGACGGTTTTCGATTAGGACCATCGAAACTGTTCTGGGCCACGATAATTGTCGCAAATAAAATCTTACGGCCACATGAAAAAGAGGTTCATAAAGTGGTCATTAACGATTTTGATAAAATTGTATTATCACCCCTGGAGGGAGAGGACCTAGGGTGGAAGGCGGGCTTGAATTATTCACGGAGGTAAGTGGTACCGGGGAAATGTTATGCCCATCATAACAGTCGGCCATCCAATGAGGCGGACCATTCCATTAAAGGTTCATTTCTGGTCCTTCACCAGTCTCAAACAGCCCCCGATCAACTTTTAAGGGCTGGTCCAGAGATCCGACTGCTGTTTCGTATTACGGCTTATATCTTGGGCTTATAACACTTGGGAAAGGTGTCAATTGAATAAGAACACGCCTTACGAATACCGAACAGCTGTAATTCCGGGTCGATCAAAATGTTTTTATATTACATATTTTACACGCACAATTAACAGACTTATAGTCCAATTCTTTTAAGGTTTAATTTTTATATAAATTCGATTTTTGGTTACCTTTTTTAAAATATTACAATTACAAAAGGAAAAAAGGAAGTGGCATGGAAATGTAATTGGCCTAATTTCTCAGGCATTTAAAAACAAACTTTTTGTCAGAGACCCATTCCATGCTAACAAGCTTTATACACATACAGCGTTAGCCTAATGAACATTCAAAGAAGGCATAATAAGTGATAAAAAAATTTCTAATCTACTACACGGCATGTGTTAATGAACAGACGTAATGAAAATTTACAAGGGCGTCCATTACTTAAATGAAAACTAAACTTCTCCATTTTAATGTTATTAAACATTCGGGGCGGATCTCATTTCCTGCTGTTAACAACATTGACTTATTAGAACAGGTACGGAGTTCTTACTTAAATTCTCGCATAAAACACTCGCTGTCATAAGCATACTTGATGTCTTTGAGCTTTTAACGTTATTCATCGTTCGTTTATGCGATGTACATTCAAGGAAAGTGATCACAACATGTAACCACTCCTTCAAAAATGTACTTTTTAACGTGAAATAAATTTTTGAATAACTACAACACTTATAAAACTTTTCTTTCTACCATGCTTCCTTCAAACAGCGTAATATGAAATAGTATCAGAGAAGTAGTATAAACATTACTAAGCTTATTTTTGTAATAAAAATAATATTAACATATCCACAAACCAGTTTAAAGAAAACAATAAATATACAGAACGGTGCTGTATGTTATAAAATCACCTAGTATTTTTTCGACAATTCTATCTCTTATCTCTAAGCTATATCCCACAAATGATTTTAAAAAAAGAGCTTGAAAAAGCGCCTGTATTATTAAATTCTCCAAGGGTATATTTCATCAAATTTATAATTTTTTTAAATCATATTGGCGTTTTTGCCATTGTAACTAAATCTGAACTTTAAAAGAAATGATTATTTGAAGATCGTGAGATCGTCTGGTGTGACGTACGTTTTAGAAAAGCATTATCTTTATGATGCCAACGTTTCGATCTATATTGAGATCATCTTCAGGGTTCAATAAAGATAGAAACGTTGGCACGATAAAGAAAATGTTTTTCTAAAACCTAAGTCTCACCAGACAGCATCTCACGATCTACAAAAAATCATTAACTAACGGTCACTAAACTCCACACTTTAAAAAAAATATTGTATTTGTATACTCCATAATTATCAAAAGAACTAATTTTTCTCCCAATAAGCAGTATTAATACATTACTACAGTATTGTACAATATCTGAATAACTATCAAAAATATAGTTGGTGTGTCAAGTTGTCATGTAAATGTGTGGTTTTTAATGACCGTTAGGTAATGATTATTTGAAGATCTTGAGACGCGGTCTGGTGTGACGTAGGGCACTATCAATCCGACCCACAAAAATGACAATCTACACGGAAAACAAACACATTGAGCCCTGAAGATTGTCTCAATAAAGATCGAAACGTTGGCACGATAAAGAAAACGTTTTTCTAAAACCTATGTCACACCAGACCGCATCTCACGATCTCCAAATAATTATCATGTATTTTTTTCCTTAACAAACAGTAACAAACAGAATTAGGAATTTATTGTTGGAAGAAATGCCAAATTCCTTTCCAGGCAATTATTTATTTATTGTTCAGATGCGATTTCTTTTTATTGATTTTCCTATTTTTTCTATATGTTTGGAGGCAATCTTAAGGCTATCTCGAACTTTTAGTCTCACAATTTTCATTGATGTAAAGTAAATGACAGGGTGTAACTCCCCGCCTGTCTGATCGTCGTAGTTCTTTGGGTGCCACCATAAACTGTGTCATACGAAGCCCTTCATTCAATTTTCTATCATTTTGATCTATTACGTTATTGAAATCAATGCTGAAAAAGATTCGTTTATT